TCCTATTATAAAAGAACTTTGGCCTGCCTGAATCTTTGAAGGGGGGTAGGATACTGCAGGGCAGTTGTTTCCAAACTTGCATCAGAATCACCTAGAGGGTGATGGCTGGGCTCTCCCCAAAGAACGTTAGATTCTGGATAGAGCCCCAGCATTCTCATGTCTGGTAAATTCCCAGGTGATGCCAAGGCCACTGGACCAGGGACCACTTTTTGAGAACCACTGATGTATGGGAAGATAAGGGCAAAAGCTCTGGAGTCAGGTAGACCTTAACCTGTTTGAACCGCAATTTATTTGAAATAGAAATAATAATCTTACCTAATAGGGTAACTGTGGATTAAAAAGGTAATGTATAAGAAGACTTCGCTGGAATTTCCCTGGTGGTCCAGTGGTTAAGAATCTGCCTTGCAATTCAGGGGATGCAGGTTTGATCCCTGGTCAGGGAACTAATATCCCACATGCTGTGGAGCAACTAAGCTCGTGCTCTGCAATTGCTGAGCCCATGAGCCACAAGGAAAGATCCTGCTCGAGGCAACAAAGATCCTACCTGTGGCAACTCAGACCGGACACAGGCATATAAATAAAGAACACCTAGCGGCCTAGCACCTAAGCGATAGTGACATTTATATTAATGTGCCTGGTAATGAATCTGTGCTGAGTGCTTTTCTAAACTGCTCAACCCCACACTGGAGCTGGAGATGGTCAGTTACTGGCCTCAGCTTTTCCTGGGTTAGTTTGGGCAATGGGTAGGTTTCAAAATTGATGACCTGAAGACAGTAGATTGATTATCTAAGGAAGAATGGTGAGAAGAGAATAAATTCTTCGAGAGGAAGAAAGGAGGACTGGCTAAACTGGGAGAGGACCCCTCTGCTCCCTTTGCCTCTTAGCTTGTCATTGGTGGTGCTGTCAGGATTTTGCTTCCCATAGCCTGTTCCGAAATGCCAGGCCAGGAAAGTGGCTGCCTGGCCCACCCAGACTCACAGGCAGGGCAAACCTCTTCCCCAGGTGGAAGAGATGCCCGAGGCAGCCCTCAGCTGCTGGCCAGCCTCACCCTGAGCACCCTCATTCTTAACTTCTCTGGGTCTCCTGCCCCACTTTTGAGTTGCATGTTTCAAAACCACCATGTTGCCTTAACTTCTCTTCCCAGATTTTGTAGGGGGCTCTGCCTAGCTCTTCTGACTCAGTGGGAGCTCCCAGGCTCAAGAGTTAAAAGAACTCATGGGCAAAGCCATGGGCAGGAGATTGACTCACCACCTCTGTCCTCTTCCTGAGGGGAAGGATCTCTCCCACCTCCACTCCCCCAAGCCCTGCAAGGAGAAAGACGTCCAAGACCTCCAAGAACTTTAGGGGGACGCCTGCTGCATCACCTGTAAAGTGATGCAGTGACTCTGGGGCTGGCCTGCTTATCTGCTGTGCAACTGTGACCATGTTAATGAAGTGCCTGGTACCACCCATGATTTTCTCACTGCAGCCAGTGCTCTCACTTGCCTCAGAACTGCCAGGGGGATTAAATGGGAGCATTAGCGTCTAGTGTTTAGGACAGATCTTGGCATATAGGAAACTCTTAGCAATATTGACTTTAATGGGCTTCCCTTGTGGCTCAGATGGTAAAGAATCCACCTGCAATGCAGGAGACCTGGGTTCAATCCCGGGGTTGGGAAAATCCCCTGGAGGAGGGAACAGCTACCCACTCCAGTATTCTGGCCTGAAGAATTCCATGGGCTGTGTAGTTCATGGGGTCGCAAAGAGTCGGACCCAACTGAGCACCTTTGACTTTCACTTTCATTTTGTTACTATTATTTTATTTCGCTTCTGGGCCAAAGTTTTTTAAACTCTTGGTAGTTCACCTTTTGCAGTGGATTAAATTGTGTCCACCACTGCCCTGAGAAAGAGATAACCAAATCTTATCCCCTAGTACCTGTGAAGGTGATCTTACTTGGATAGGGTCTCTGCAGATGCAATAAGTTCAGGATTTCAAGGTGACATCATCCTGGATTTAGGGCGGGTCCTAAAGGAAGGTGGGGTGGGAGGGAAGGGGAGGGAGGAGGCTGGAAGGATTTTCCCTTAGAACCTCCAGAGGGAGTGTGGCCTCACACAACCGTGATTCCAAACTCTCGCCTCTTAGAACCATGAGACAATCCATGTCTTTTCTTTGAGCCACCAAGTTTGTGCTACACTAATATAGCTTTCTTTCTGATTGTCCAGAAACCTTACCCAGATTCACTATCCCCGGAGGGGTCTGTCCACATTTCTCTCTCCTCCCAATGGAAACTCCCATCTCTTAGGGAAATTTACCTTGGTGTTAAGTGGTGGGGGGGGGGAAGATAATTTAATTTAAAAAGTCTTTCCCTCAGAGCTATTAAAAAACGTTCCCTCGCACACCTGCATTCCAAATGAAGCCTTCTTGGTGGACTGTGGTCTGAAGATCTTTGAGGCCCTCTTGGCCTCCTTCGCTGGGCTGGCCCCCTTCCACAGAGGCCACTTCTGCCACGGTGCTGACCACACTGAAAGGTCATGAGAGCCCTCTTTGTCCTGGCTGTCTTAGCCTGTAGTTCAGGCTTGGCACATCACCATCCTAATAAATGTTTATTGACTTAACAGATGAGGGAGGGCTTTTTCTTGTGTCCCTACTCCTGGCTCCCTCTACCCCAGTCCTAGAAAATTCCATGAGAAATGAAAACATATTTCCACACAAAGACTTGAACACAAATGTTTATGGAGGTTTTATTTACAACAGCCAAATCTGGAAATAATCTAAATGTCCATCAACAGGTGACTGAATAAACAAATTGTGGTAATATCCATACAATGGAACACTACTCAGCAATAAAGGTGATACATTTTACCCATCAGTATGGATGAACCTAAAATCATTATGCTGAATAAGAGAAGCCAGACAAAAAAGAACACATACTGTGTGATTCTGTTTACATGTAATTATAGAGAATGCCAACAAAAGTCCATCTACTCAAAGCTATGGTTTTTCCAGTAGGCATGTATGGATGTGAGAGTTGGACCATAAAGAAAGCTGAGTGTCAAAGAATTAATGCTTTTGAACTGTGGTGTTGAACACTCTTGAGAGTCCCCCGGTCTGCAAGGAGATCAAACCAGTCCATCCTAAAGGAAATCAGTCCTGAATATTCATTGGAAGGACTGATGTTGAAGCTGAAACTCCAATCATTTGTCCACCTGATTCGAAGAACTGACTCATTGGAAAAGACCCTGATGCTGGGAAAGATTGAAGGTGGGAGGAGAAGGGGGGCAACAGAGGATGAGATGGTTGGATGGCATCACCAACTCAATGGACCTGAGTTTGAGCAAGCTCTGGGAGTTGGTGATGGACAGGGAAGCCTGGTGTGCTGTAGTCCATGGGGTCGCAAAGAGTCGGACATGACCAAGCGACTGAACTGAACTGAGCTACCCACTCTGCCTCTGGTCAGTGAGAGTCCAAGTTTACCATCTCCTTGCCCTCCATCCCCAGACCTCACCTGTTTGCCAGAAGTACCCTTGAGTCTTGTTGACTCTCCCCTTATTGGTCCATCCTGGGAAAAGCAAAAAACAGGGCTCTCTATTTCCTTCCCACCATCTTTCAGAAGGGCAAAAGTTTTTTTTGAGACTGCAGTATGGACCAAATATATGTGTCGTTTGATGAGACAGTGTCTGCTCCTCTGGCCTGCCCTCACTGTGGTGGGAAGGTGGGTGTGTTGGGGTGATAGGCCACAGGAGACTCACCAGGGCTATGAGCAGCCCCTACTCTGCAAGCTGCCACCTGGCTTTCACGGGCAGAGCCCCTGCTCACCAGGGGGCTGTGTGGTGCAGAGACAACATTCAGGAAGGGTCTGTGGCACGGCCAGAGATGCCCCAACGCCTCGGGTCAGCAGCTTCACCCTTCCCCAAAGCCAGCTGAATTCTTCCCCAGGACACCGGAAATTTGGGTCAAGGACTGAGTTCAAGTCTTAGCTATAAGATGATTGCTGTCCTTTCTTTGAGAACAGACCACAGAGACCATACTTTAAAACCCCCAAATTAGGACATCACGCTCTGATAAAAAATTTGTAAATCACTGACATGAAAATTTGCTTTGTTGTCGTTGTTGTTGTTCAGTAGCCAAGTCGTATCTGACTCCTTGTGACTCCATGGACTGCAGCCCACCAGGCCTCCCTCTCCTCCACTATCTCCTGGAGTTTGCTCAAATTCTTGTCCACTGAGTCGTGATGCTATCTAAGCATCTCCTCCTCTGCCGCCCTCTCCTTTTGCTTTCAAACTTAAAAGTATACAAATCAAGTCACAGTTGGTTACATATTGAATAAATAGGAATATATTTCTGGAAAAGAATGTAATCAAGGCGGACACTATCCTCAGAACCCAGTGGTTGTCTGTTTAGGCCAGTGTTTCTACATGAGGGTGATTTTTGACCTCCCTCCCAAAGGAAAGTGGCAGTGTTTGGGGATATTTGGGGTTTCCATAACCTGGAGTAGGGATGCAAAAGGCCCCTGGAAAGGACAGAACACTGCTGAGTGTCCCACAAAAACAGGGCCGCCCTACTACAAGGCATTATTTGGCCCCAAACGTCAACAGTGTGAGGTTGAGAAACCTTGTTCTAGGCCTTCTGGGGCTGCACATGCGGACCTCAGGGTGTCTGTCCTGCACGGGGGTTTCCTCCTGACTTTGGTCCTGTCTTTGACTGGTGGAGTCCAAGGGGAGAGCCTGGGGGCCCCCAGTGCTCCACAGCTTCCTCTTGTGTTGGCAGAAGCAAGAAGACCACTGCCTCTGAGGAGGTGGTCAAGCCGAGCACAGCAAGCAACAGGTAAGGTCTTGGGTCAGTATCTCCCATCACAGAAGAGGGTCCAGGGCAGAGACCCCCCTGCAGCCAGGGAGCAGACAGGGGCCCTGGGTTCTGGCTTCTAGCACTGCCTGACTCTGCATCTGGCTGGCTCCCTTAACCTCTGTGCCTTGGTTTCCTCAGTCGCTCCTCTGGGCATCGGTTCCTGCCCTTGCCCCCCTCACAGGGTCTTGTCGTGGGAGGCATTGCAGACATAGCGGTGACCGAGGTGGTGGCAGGGGGGAGGAGGGTAACTCTGGGCAGAGGATGGAGCATGTAACCCATAAGCCACCCGCTGGGCTGTGCTGGGGCAGCGATGGGAAGGATGGGGAGCGCCCGGCATCACGGTGCGGGCAGCTGGCAGTCTTTCCTCCATGGACTCTGCTGTCTTGCAGCTTTCAGACCAGGAGTGCGACGGGGGCAGGGGGTCGGGGCTTTGCAGGAGCCCTACAGGAAACCGGAAGTGTGCCCAAGCCACTTGTGCTATAGGAAGTTTTCCGGCAGAGAGGAGCTGGTAGACGGGCTCCAGGTAGCTGGCCCAAAGCAGACTCATCAACCACATGGCATTGGAAACGATGAAAATATATCTACAACTGCTGCTTTGAGTCCTTGAATTTGTAGTTGCTTGTGAAGTGGTATTGCAACCTTTAGATGCCTTTAAGCTTTTCTGTATATCTTTTCAAGGAGTGTTAAATCTACATATTAATTTCTAATTTTTATAGATAATTATTTCTTCTCTAGGTTGTATATATTAGCAAACATTTGAAATAACTGCTGTGTCCAACAATAAAGTATTTATTTATCAAAACAAAATTAGTATATAACGACAAGGATTTGTGGGAAAAACTAGATGTTCACACACACACACACACACACACACACACACACACAAAGCCAAGATTACTGATTAAGAAAAATTAGAAAAGTTTTGTAAGCAGGGCAAAATCTATCCAAACTCCAAAATTTCTTAAAACGTGTGTGTGTGTGTGTGTGTTTAGAGGAGACAGTGGTGTCTAATGATCATACTCGCTGCCCAGAAGTTAGAAAGAGGCCCTTATTCACCAGCAGTGTGACTCCTCTGCTGTGAGTCATCTTCTCCCCATTTTACTTTTTTCATCCGTGGAAGGTGGATGATAATGGTGGGATGTCAAAGGGACCCAGGAGCCAGCTGAAAGAGCTCCCAATGGCCAAAATGCAACAAGGTGAGTGACAAAATAAATAACATAGCATTGGATCATAACCCAAAGTACGACATGAATGTCGGAGAGGTTATACTGATATAACTAAGAGATTGAATAAATAAATAAATTGAGAATAGAGAAATCTACTGTGAAGAATTTCAAATAACGGATGTAATGCCCCTCCTTCCAAGAAGGGAGCAGAACGTCCCACTCCTAAAACGTGGGCTGAGCCAGTGCCTGCCTTCTTCCCGACAAAAGCAGAGAACGTCACAGATGAAGCCTGGCAAACACGACCTCACCCAAGTGATCAAGGTCAGTATCATCAGTGATAACTCATCTGGGTAACACGTCCCTCTGATAGGGTGTGATGAGAAGGGCGCTTCACCTCTGAGCGTCTCCCCACTCAAACCACAACCCTAGTCTAATCACGAGAAACGCACGAGACAAACCCCAATCAAGGGGCAGAATCCACATGACCAGCGGTGGTGCGAGTTTTAAAGAACCCCGCCTGCCAATGCAGGAGATGTTAAGAGATGCAGGTTTGATCCCTGGATTGGGAAGGTCCCCTGGAGTGGGCATGGCAACCCACTCCAGTGTTCTTGCCTGGAGAATCCCATGGACAGAGGAGCCTGGAGGGCCACAGTCCATGGCGTCGCAAGAGTCGGACATGACTGAAGCGACTCAGCACGCACAGTCTTTAAACCTGCCAGGTGGTCAAACACAGGGAAAGCTGGAGTGTCTCAGCCAAGAGAAGCCTCAGGAGAGATGATGACTAAATGTGATGTGATATGCTGGATGGGATCCCGGAGCAGAAAAAGGACAGGAAGCAAAAACTATGGAAATCTGAATCAAGTAGGATAGCCTTTATTTGGTTAACAATGTATAATATTCACTCACTAATTGGGACAGATATACCATATTCATGTGGTGTAAGATGTTAACAGTAGGGGAGACTGGAGGTGAGCTATCTGGGATGTCCATCTTTGCAACTTTGTTTTTCTGACCTTGCTGGGTGACTTGCAGGATCTCAGGTTCCTGACCAGGGATTGAAGCTGAGTCACAGCAGTGAAAGCCTGGAATCCTAGCCACTAGGCCACCGGGGAACTCCTATTGCAACTCTTTTATAAATCTATTCTGAAATAAAAGTTTATTTTAAAAAGTGGATAACAGTGTCTACATTATGTTGATGCACCCACTTAGGGAATTCATAGTTTACGTTTACTTAATGTAATGAGCTAATGGAGATGTGTGTGTGCGTGCTTGGTAGCTCAGTCATGTCTGACTCTTTGCGACCCCATGGACTGTAGCCTGCCAGGCTCCTCTGTCCATGGAATTTTTCAGGCAAGAATACTGGAGCAGATAGCCATTTCCTCCTCCAGGGAATCTTTCCAACCCAAGGATCGAATCCTCGTCTCTTGCATTTCCTGTATTGGCAGGCAGATTCTTTACCACTAGTGCCACCTGGGAAGCCAGTATCAAGGATTTAATACATGGGCATACGATAAGTGTTTAAAGCTAGCTACTGTTTATCATTATTGTTCTTATTTCTATTTTTGTAATAAAAATAGCAAATAAAATATAGAAAATAAAGCAAAAAATAGCAAATAAAAATACAAATAAAAATATTTGTAATAAAAATATAATTTTTCTCATTATAGAAAAAATTACAGATGAGTCAAAGGAAAACATAACCCACAAAAGAACAAAGTAGAATACCCACAACCCTACCTTCCCTGGGGCAACTACTGGTCACACCTTTCCATGTACTCCTGCTGAGATGTAACAAATTTTTTCTAAAGCTTGGATCACACCACTCATACAATTTGGTAAGTGGTCATGATTAAGTAACATTTCTGTTGTTCCCACTCTTTGCTGTTACAAGTAGCCAAGAGCACAAGTAATGAACTAAATATTAATTGGAAAGGGGATAAAACCCCGAAAACATTAAAAAAAAAAAAACAGACACCAATGCTTATATATAGGAACAAAAGGTGCTCAATGGTTCATCAAAATGACCCTCATCTGAAAAGCTGATGACTGACTTTTCTAGGTCTATTTCATTAAAATTTAATACATTAAAAAATAATTCTAAGAAAGAAGTGAAGGGAATATGGTAAACTGTTGACAGTGGTTAACTCTTCTGTTCCTTCTGCAGTCTGCTGTGACTGGCAGCTTTCCTATAAGGCAGATATTTGACTCAAAAGCAGCAGCAAGGGACCATGAGTGATTGGATCCAGTCTTTCGCAGTCAAGTGCTATCCTGCCTAAATCACTGGGTTCACTGATTTTCTTTCAAGTAAATCTATTTACTATGTAGTGTTCTAAATGCTTTCCCAATATTTAATGATCTGATGACATAAATGGGTATTATTTGCTTTTCCATTATTTTATGGCTTCCTTGGTGGTTCAGACAGTAAAGAATCCACCTGCAATGCAGGAGACCCAGGTTTGATCTCTGGGTTGAGAAGATCCCCTGGAGAAGGGAATGGCAACCCACTCTAGTAGTCTTGTCTGGAAAATTCCAGGGACAAAGGAGCCTGGCGGGCTACAGTCCATGGGGCTGCAAAGAGACACAAGTGAGAGACTAACGCTTTTACTTTCTTTCTGTTTTATTTGCTCATTTTACAGATGAGGAAACTGAGGCCCAGTGAGGCTAAGTTACCCAAGGTAATACCCAAGGCACATGAGTCCGGAGGCCAAACTCTTGACCGCTGCACCCAGGACGCCCCCAGAGCACCTCTGGCCAAACTGCAGAAGCCAACAGCCTGTCCCATGCTGGCAGAGAGGCGACAACAGCACTAGGCCTGGCTTCCAGGGCCTGGCTTCTAGAAGCCATCGGACTCCAGAAGGCTGCACAGGCCACTTCCTGTTTGTGTGACTTTGGGAAGATCTCTTTACTTCCCTGAGCCTCAGTTTCCTTATTTATAAAAAGGGCGTGATGATCCCACTTCCTATTGCCGGCTCAGGCATGGAAACTGCCAAGCGTGCACATAGGCAGGAAGTCAGAGGAGGGAAGGGGTGCAGAGTGAACAAGATGCAGGGAGGCAGCGTGCGGGCCATCGTGAGAGAGCTGTGTTCAGGGGACTTTGGGGTCTGAGGAGCGGGGTGGGGTGGGGATTGGGTTAGTCTTGGAGGCTTTACTGTCAGCTGGTTGAGCTGGGATGGCAGCCACAGTGAGGTGGGCGGGAGGGCTGTGAAGGAGAGGCCGCCGCAGGGATCCAAGACCACAGTGGGCTGTCCCCAGCTTCTCAGCTGGGCCCTAGGCTCCTCCTTGAGTCTGAGACAGAGTTCCCCAGGACAGGTCCTCCGGTAGGGAAGGGGTCCAGTGGGGTGTAGGGACTTACTGGCAAATTTTTGTCAATGTCCACAAGAGGGAAGGATGATACAGGAGGCACGCACTAAACTGCTCTTTCCAGAAGCCCCTTGGAAATCATAATACCAGCTTCTCATTTGGTGGGCCCCCCACCCCAATTCACCGCAGCCAGCTCATCTGAGCCTCCAACAGTCTGGAGGGAGGTCGACTCTTCTCTCCCCTACACTCCATCTGCTCTTTCTAACATCCCAGTCATTTATTCTCTTCTGTGACACTCTTGCCAGTATTTTACACTATACTGACCTCGTCCTTGCTCCAAAAAAGTTCTTTTTCTGCCAGGACTGCACCCCTTCTTGGCCAACCCTTTAACCGACTTTGTAACAGGAGAGAAAGGGGCAGGGCACAACTTTGGAAAGACTGACATAGCCCAAGGACACAACATAAACAAATTAGAATCAAATGGGACCAAGTTGGCAGACAAGACCAGGCCTTGATCCTCAATCAGCAAGTGAAATGACACACCCAGAGATGCCATGCCAGTCCCAAGGCACTGTTAAAAGACCAAGGAGTGGGCGGTGGCCCAGATCCTGGAAATCTCTGCCCCTTCCCCAAAATAGTTGGAATAATCCTCCCACTCATTAGCATGTGAAATTACCCAGCCTACTAACCACACCAAATTTTGGGCCGCACACGTTATCTGCAATGGTCCACACTCTGTCTGTGGAGCGTGCTTCTCACTGTATCTGAATAAATCCACGTCTTACCTATCACTTTGTCTCTCAGTGAATTCTTTCTGCAATGAGACATCAAGAACCCAAGCTTCATTAGGTCCTGAAAGCAGGTACTGTGGGTTTTGGCTGGGTTCAAGTCCCAGCTAGTTTCCTATCTTCTTTTCCACACCCTTCAGATTCTCTTCTTGGTCTCCTTTTCTTTTCTTTCTTTTTTCTTTGAAAGCATTCTCCTTGAGTGGTCTTCTCAGCTACAGTGTGAATCCCCACCATGCACTGATGGGTTCTGAATCTTCAACCCCCCGTCCTTCC